TCAACATTCAGAATAGACAGTAAATACAATAACAGTGATCTCCTATGATTGGCGAAATTGCCATAAAGAAATTAGGAACACAAATGGAAGTCTTTTATCATGCACGTAGTTACGAACTGCAGCTAGGGGGGGGGGAGAGGAGAGTCTAATAAACTGGCTTGGTACCAGAGACGATAAGTCGCCTTTCCGTCTACTGTTTTCTCTCCTCTATGATTTCAGCGAGTAAATGTCGTTTAAGTAGTGCAAGGACGAGTCAGAAAACTTTCCCAATTTGTTGAATTGGATCACATAATCTCTTGCATTCCTATCAGCAAACAAAAAAGTGCTGACTCCTACCGCGCAGACAGCAACAGCACTCAACCAACAGGGTGTGTTAAGCAGCGCCTGACGGAATAGGCCGCGAACGAAACTACTCTGTGGGCAGTAAAGACAAAAACAATCAGTTTGCAGCTATCAGCAACTGTTACTTTGCTTGATATTTTCCTAGCCAGAGAACTTTCAAACAACGTTCCCGAAATTATGCATATCTCGCAACTCACCAAGCTGACCGACCCTGACGTATTGTTGGGTCTTAATAATGTTTATAAGTTCTAGAGTTTAATTTCCACCGCAGACTGCTAATCATTTCGGGATGGAGAAAAGTTGGGAGCACCGATGACTTGTGGTAAAGGCGCAATACGACCGCGCAACCGGTGCATACACAAAAGGGAGGTTTGACGGGACAATCGACGAACAGGTGAAGGGCACACCAATGGCTTCGCCGATTTCGGGATTCATCGCCGAAGCGGTCCTGCAACGGTTAGAGTCGCTGGTCTTCCAACACTACACACCGAAGTTCTGGGCCCGGTATGTGGATGTCATCTTCGTCGTTATCGGCCGAGATCAACTCCTGACATTCGAGGAAGGTCTGAATGCGGTCTTCCCGAGCATACAATTAACGATGGAGGAGGAAGAGAACAACCAACAGGCCTTCCTGGCTGTCCTCGTATGCCGCACAGATTGTGGTGGCCTAAAGGCCAAAATGTTCAGGAAAGCGACAAATACGATGTAAGTACTGAACTTCAACAGCAAACATCCAACCAGCCACAAACGCAACTGTGTGAGGACGCTCTATCGGCATGTCGAAACGCACTGCAGTGGGCCGGGAGACAAAATTGTCGAACTACAATACCTTCGACGTGTCTTCAAAGACAATGGCTACCCGCGCAACTTCGTCAACCGGTGCATACGCAAAAAAGACGAAAGGCCAAACCTCACGGACCCCAAATTTTGGCGGGCGCTTCCGTATGTCAAGAACGTTTCGGAAAAGGTCGATCGACTTGTCGCACCACTTGGGGTTGGAGTTGCACACAGACCGGAGGCAACCATCAGGCGTCAGGTAATGAAACCAAAAGACCCGCTGCCACGGCTAGAAACGTCTGGCGTCGTTTATCGGATCTGGTGCAGTTGCGGACAAAGTAACTACGTCGGAGAAACCGGAAGACAGCTCCGAACGAGAATGGCCGAACACGCTGCAGCGGTGCGGAGAAATGACGCCAGCTCTCAAGTTGCGGCTCATTCGACGAGATCCGGCCACACATTCAAATTCGAAGAGGCCGAAATTCTTGCAAGAGATTACAACCGCGTGAGCCGGGAGCTACTTGAATCATGGTTTAGCGGCCTCCAGTCCATTAACAAGTGCAATGAACTTCCCCCTCCATACTCGATGCTGAGACTTCGCCTAGGCGGAGTAATTAGCCACACGGGGAGCGCACAGGTGAACACTTTTCCCAACACCAGGGTCGGTGCGTCAGATGGTCGAGCAATCATCACACCAACATCCAACGCACGTGATGAAATGGCAGCAATTAACGACGCGAATATCGGCCATCAAACAATTAGCACACCAAGTGTGACGATACCGGATGAAGGGGGGAGCCGTGAATGTTCATAGGTATGCGGTAGCCTGGCGACTGCATCCTGTAAATACTGCAGCCCCTTGTGCATGAACCACCGTATCTGCTGTTGTCTCTGATGATGGGTTCGAGCAGGAATCCGAAACGTCAGGCTAATAAAGCTCTTGTCCCAGCGATCGTGTCTCCTCCACGACTGTCTCTGTCTTCGTCTGCGTGAGAATCAATTCTCTTTTTCCTGCTTCGCGTGCGCCACCGTGCTGTTGAGGGGCCAACCAACCAAGGGGAAACGAGATGGCATGAAAGCATCTATTCCTGACGAATCTCTGTGGCCAAAAGTGTTCCATTTAAATGGCCTTAAGTAGGGTCGAATTGCGTGTTTTCAATCTGACAAGACTGATCCTGCTTAATTCAAGTTAACGGGAATGACCGATTTTCGGGCTTCTTCGGTTCTCAATTATCACAGGAGTTCTTAAAGAAGGGGTTTATGCGCATTGGCGACTTATCAGGGACTTGGAGGACTGCAAGCGTGCGTCGACGGCGGGGTCAAAGAAAAGTGGGGAGTGGTCAGAGAAGGATCCAGTTAGTCATATTATTAACGTAGATGAAGAGTTCGTTGAAACCGTCCAAATCCAGAGCGACATACACGGACTTGTTCTCGCCTTTCTAGAACCTTACTTCTGCAAGTGTGAAATGGTCGGATCTGCAGTTTCCGAAGCAGCCCAATAGCCCCTTAATGATTCAGCGCAATGCATTTCCATCAATTGAACTGAAAATTGACTTTAATTCGAAGAAACAGACAGACGTCGGGCTCCGAAAGAGGTAGCGGCGTTTCGAAAGCCTATTCAGGAAGAAAACTCGGTGGAAAATGTTCCGACCGATTGTTTGTTCTAGTTGTAAAGTCCCCCACCTTTCGGAAGCTGCGTAGAAGGATGGAATATTTGCGTTACGCGTTCGAAGAATCTCCTTTCTGACTCATTCAACCCTCTGAATTCTTGCTGTTCCTCGTGGCAGTGGCTTACTTCGATGGATCACGGTTGAATGCGAGGTATCTGTGTACCCCGACTGCTGGCTAGTCAGATGAGATTGGAGGCACTTTTCGGGTAGGAAGTCGTCGGGTGCAGTCATTTCAGACTGCATCCCAAAGAAAAATAAGCAATGATATAAGTGTATTAAACAATATAGAAAAAGGTTCAAAATTGTTGTTACAAAGTTCTCACTCCAAGGTCTAACTAGGCAAAAAGTGTCAGTTATATTCGACAGATGGGAGTAGACCAGGTCCGGTAGAAGATAGCACGAGGCGTTTATATTTTACGGGGGTGTACATTCATCCAAGGTTCTTGCATAAAGGCCAAGAGCTTTACTCCGTCTTAGGTATGCTAGCCGACAGTAAGAGCACGCTGAGGGGTAGGCATATATACTCGACCTGAGACACGGGGCTCATGCCTATGCGACGTCCAGGTGCTTTACCATGGATGTGACAGGATTATCGATTTGACTGTTCGACCGTCGTACCCGACGATGTCCAGCGTGTGCTCCACTGCAAGGTGCAGCAGGCACGGTGACTTTCGCGTAAATTAGTTTATAGTGTAGACTTGGGTAGCATTTACCGTACGCTCTCCTCCTCCCCCTGAGAGCGGTGTCAAGGCAGATTCAAGAAGACCGGAGGTGGGGGAGGGCGTAGGTGAATGGCGCGGTCGAGCTCGCACCTTGGCGCTCCACTCCACACCCTCTGGTCCACACAACACTTGACCACGATTTTAACCAACAACAACGGCACCACAACGGTCAGAAGGATGAAGATGACTGAGCAGCCGTGCTCACGACCTATATGCCCAGCGGCAACGCAAGCGCATCTACCGGCAGGGAACCAGGTTCCAGAGAACTGCCAGCGCATACGAGGGCCATGGTTCGCTGATAGAGCATGCTTCCAGAACTTTTGACCTAGAAGGGCGACACGCGGCCCTGCATATAGCCTGGACCGTCACCCTTCAAGGCTGAGTAACCAGTCGTCAGCTGAGAGACACTACTCATAAACCATACACACACACACTCCTCACCAGTTAAGACGGAGCCGTGACGGCCTGGTTCTCAGCCCATCAGTCCGCCACGGTGAGACGCACGGTGACACTCGTGAGTGCGCTCCCTGCACAGTCAGCTGACAACATCGATTTGGGTCGCCGTGACAACCTAGTCCCATTACTTATGTGGCCGATTCAGATTAGCTCACGATGAGTATACAGGGAGTCTTGCAAATGTCTCGGATTAAGACAACGAAAGCCGCACTGACCTCAATGCAATCACAAGACGGGTTTGGTTGGGGGAAACTTCATAAAACATAGCAGTCGGGATGCAGGTCCAGCTTATCAAGGAAAGTGATAGTAAACACTAGGAAACCACGCCCTTCTTCGTTAGTCTGCTAACAAGAGACCAGTCATTCCATCAGCGTTACGGGACAAGCTTTGGAGTTTCAAAGACTGCTATCCAGTACAAGCGAGAATTCAAACTCGGGGGGTGAGAAAAAAAGAGGACCAAGGCATTTTTGTAATGGTCCCCACTACGAGCGCCTGTCGCAACGCTGGGCCTCTCGCTAGTGTATACACGTGCGCACCGGGACGGCCTGGCGCTCGCCCGCTTGGCTTCCCAGCCGGCCAATCAGATTCAAGGTCGAGTCAGACGTGCCCTGGCTTAGGACGCTTTGACGCATTCCCTGACTCACCCTCGTGGCGTGGCTCTCCCGACGCCGGGGCCGTTTTCCTCTGGCTGCTAACTCCTTCCAACCCCTTCTTCAGTTGTTCCGCACGGAATATACAATCCTCCCAACTGGCGGCCATCTTCTCTTTCCACTCGACAGTGGGCCTGGAGGTAGTGGCAGCCAGGGTCCCACTCACGGCCCAGGTGTCTTGGATACACTCACTGTGCAAACAAGCATTCATGCTTTTAACGCAAAAAAGCAGCTTAGGCCTTTCTCCAGTCCTAGGATCACATTGTAGGAACTACTGCTTGCTTCGGCAGATAGTTCAATAATCATACAAAAACGGCATGTGAAGATATGATACCTAGAGTATAAAGGCCCTCAATCGTGAGGCAGACTTTAGACGATGACGCTTAACTCGCCTTTACTTTCAGGACCTCGAATTCTTGCTGCAGACTCCGGATGGACATTTGTTCAGCCGCCTTTTGTTCCTCTAGCTTAACTTCCAGCTCATGAATTCTGCCTTGGAGTGCCACTTGTGATGATAGGGGTAGGCCCTAGAGGTAAGGAAAAAATATGTTATATAAAAACTTTTGAGATCCATGAGGCAAGGCTCCTTGAGGTCAACTTTTGAGGATGACTGGATGATTACTGGTACGAGCGCACGTTTTTTCAGTTAACAAAGTACTTAACAGGGATAAAAACACTTTGGCATGCTAGGAAAGCCGTATGTGCGAAATGTAGTTGAACAGTATTGCGTAAAAGGGATATTAATAGGTGACAAAGGCATCAGTAAAAAATCTGGCAGGGCCGCCGAACTCTCCAGGCTGGTGTAGGAAACGACAGATTTTGTTTAAAGCCGAAGATGTCGCGTTCGTCCGAAACTCTAGTCGGTAGACGCTGGGGGGGAAAAACACGACTTTGGTACAAAACATGGCCTCACGGAAGGCCATCTAGTTGTTGGCGCTGGTAGCCACCGTCACCAGGACTAGCATAGCTGGATAACCAACCCAATTCACCCTTCCCGCTTGGACAGAGATATCCACCCCAGGACCCAGAGGCTATAGGAGACCAAATACGCACAAAATGTCCAACAAGTTGACTTCCCAGTAAACCCCGTTAGAGCTGACTGGATAGCTGAATTCCAGATCGCGGCTCACGCGGTTGTCAACTCTTGCGAGGATTTCGGCCTCGTGAAACTTGAAAGTATCGCCAGGTCCCGTAGAATGAGCCGCCACCTGAGATAATAAATCTCAGGTGGCGGCTCATTCCACTACAGTTATTTGCGACTGTCTCTGATGATGAGTTTGAGTGAGAACCCGCAACATCAGGCCATTAAACTTCTTGTTCAAGTGATCGAACCTACTTCTTCTGAACTGTTTTCTGGAGCTCGCCCGCTTGACCCTATCAGCATATACGCTGATAACAATCGGGAGAGGACCCCCAAACATCTGTTGCCTAGAAAAAATGCCTACTATAGCTATTTGAGTAGGTATTAGGTCGACACAATAGTTGTTTCATGTGACCTCCAAGGGAACGTCGGATATTTAAGAAGCTTCCCCAGAAATGCTGCTTTGGCCGGATGTCATGTTGTTTCGAAACCATGAAATTGGATTGGTAATATACTTCAGGAAAACGGTATAGGCTGGTGAAGGGCGCAAGGCCGCCATTTCACAATGGTACATCGGGCTTTGGCGTATTTTGTAGGGCAGTCGCTGTGTCCGACCTCAACCCTCTGCACTCCAGTAACCCCTGTCGATGCTGGTCTGCGACGGTTTAGTCGGCAGACGTAGACACATATTTGTCTCATAGCTGACCAGGTATCAAGCAAGTAAGCTAGCAAGCAGACTTTTTTCCGAATCTGAGTCTTAGTATTAACGTTTAGAAAGTACTTTGAGAAATCAGTGATAGATTTACGTAAAAGAAATACCTACTTCCTGTTTCATTACTTCCGTTGGTTGGTTGGAAGGGGCTTGGTTCTTGATATACCAATTCAGTTTATGTTTGAGTTCCCCGATAGCAACAGCCGCCTCGTTCTTTACCTGCTGACAACGAGCTTCAGCATTTGCTGTGGCGCTATCTGCCATCTGCGACAGCGAAGCACAGCGTTTTAGAAGGTCTGATAGCTGTTTCAGAATGCACAAAAACAAAGCTCAGACTCGGCAGTCAAATTTTTAAAATTTGCCTTGATGATATAAGCAAGGCGGTAGCAGGCGACTGATATGCAAGCAATTGATTGCGGACTTATAAGGAGGAAAGTAAGAGACCACTTCATCTGAGATGGAAAAATTCATTATATAAAGCATTCCGGTTATAAGAGTGCGCAGATGACGCTAAGGGTGCAGATCTAGCTTGATTTACGATTACTTTGGTTAGAATGCGGCAGAGCGCGGAGCAGCCAGAGTGCCAGATCTTCTTCATGCCCACAGGTGCTCTCGGCTATGCGAGCACGCGAGCATCACTCTCGTCATCCCGCCGACGTCCGTGTATTGCACACAGGTTGATCGCTACTGGCGCAACGCGGACTACTCTCGCTGAACACGATCACTTGGTCGACACTCACCCCTCTGCGCTGACAAATACTGCTTGCATTTAACCGTCTCAGTAAAGGCTGTCAGCTTGATACTATGCGTCTGCAGCTTCATTTGGGAATTCGCAATTCATATTGACTCAACTGTGAAAAACTCGGCGCCTCGGTGGGATTTGAACCCACGCAGTAAGAGGAAGGCTTTAGTACAGCCAACGCTCTAACCACCTGAGCTACGAGGCCCCGCCGGACGACGCGAGTTTTTTTTTATCACATTTGAATTTGCAATTATTGTGCAACGCACGTCATAGCGACCTCGGTGACCCGCCGTCAGCATGTGGACAGTCAGTTCGACCGTCACGAAGGACGATGGCCACCGTGTGCCCCACAACTAGGTGGACGCAGGACGGTGACTGGCGAGTGAATTAGTTTGTAATGAGGGCAAACTTGCACAACATCTACCACACTCTCTCCTCATCCTCCTCCCCCACCATCCTAGGAACGGTGTCAAGACAGTCAGGGAGACCGGGGGCGCGATCGAACTGGCATGGCGTGAACCCACGCCTAGACGTATCACCACAACTCCTGGTCCGCGCATAAAGAACCGCGATTTAACACAAGAAAGGGGGAGGGGGCGACTCGGAGCTCAACTAAGTTTGAGTGCAATTGCAGTGTGACTCTCCGTACGACAGTTCGATCGCCTTTGCCGACGCTGTCCGCCGTGTGCCCCATAGCAGGGTGGGTGCAGGGGCGGTGACTCGCGCGTACATTAACCCTTAATGATAGTAGAATTGCGCTCCATCTACATCACTCTCTCATCCTCTCACAGCTAAGCCGGGTGCTATGACACACAGTCAAGAAGGGTTTTACAGTTCGAACAGTGTTGTGACCAATGAAAAGAAGGTAAGGTTGACTGAAATGGCATTTCTGGCTTATTTTTTGTCATTAGCTAGCTATACTCCAAAGAGTTCGGCTTACAGCCCCTCATCTTTCCGGCCTGGGGTTGGGGTATGGTCGACTGACGACAGGAAGTGAATGAGAAAGGGGCATTCCAATCAGGTCTGTCTTTGTCCGTAACGGTTCTCGCATATTAACTGCTTGACACCATTCGACCGGCTGTGAAAACTTCAGAATAGAGGACCCGGTCAATGGGGAATAACCTGCATTGCGTCCTGAAAACAAGGCAGATTGGCGAATGCCGCCTCTGTGTGAGTTTCAGCACCATACATCAATGTGTTGTCGCACTTCAGGTTTGTTGAATGGGCGCGCGTACTCGGGAACAACCATAAAAGTACTGGTTGCCTCGAAAAAGTTTGAGGCTATTATGACGAAAATGAACTCTGTCAATTTCTAGATCGCCGGAAAATGCACTACTCTAAGCACACAGAGCACTGTTTCACTGTAACACCAACAAAAGCGCTGCCTAAAAACTAAGACACACATTTCGTCGACCTACTTCCGCACAGCACAAGTACGAACCTGACTTTGAATCCGATCAATTTCATTAGATAAAAATGCCAATCACAATTTGCTAGCCGGATTTATCCCAGAAACTGCACGTGAAATGCCGAGGAATCCAGTAACGAACAGAATCTCGAGCAGTAACATAATACAGTCACAGAAAAAAAAACGCTAAGAGTCAGGATTCTGAATTAGTATCTGTGTTGGGAATATGGTAAAACAATTTTGTGTACGAAACGACCACCAGATTTACAAGTACAAACTTATTGCTGCAGGTGCGCTGAATTTACTAGGAATGAAACTAGACGTTCACCCTAAGATTAGGCGACGATTGAATATTCAGTCCTACTGAGCAAATGAAGAACAGGTACTGCAGTAATACGGGGAGGACGTAAATGGGGGTTTTATGAGTGAGACAGATGGGGGCGGTGAGTAGAGGACTATGCGGAAAACATTGAGAAAACACACTTCTACCATGCGTGCTTTATTACTTCAACGAGGTGTCGGAACAGACCGCGCAATTTGAACGATTCGGATTATGGGCGCATAAACGGGCGGAAAACAGGTAATCGGTGGCTATTAATTAATGATGACCGGATTGGGTAAGAAGGTATGCGGGAGGCAAACTTCACCCTAACCCCAACCTTAACCCCAAGTATAACCTTTTTCGTGAACTCGGTCGCAACCGTGATCCTAGTATAACATGTATACGCAAATGAGATGAGTAGGCATATCATAATAATAAAAACTAGAGGAACATATTCAACGGTCGTCTAAAATTGCATCAAACCTAGGAAGTTCTGCTCTGACCACCCAAATCCACATTATCCAGCTTCTTTAGACGAAAGCGCAAATCACCCAAGTATATTTTCATATTGTCGGGGGCGCGGCTAACGGCCTAACTAATTTAAACAGCCATAAATGATAGTTCGACTGTCGCATCTGACGAGTCCACCGTACGCTACACAACAAGGTGAAGCAGGCACGATCATTTGCGCGTGAATTAGTTTATAGTGTAGACTTGGGTAGCGTTTACCGCAGTCCCTCATCCTCCTCAACCTGGATCCAATGTCAAGACAAAGTCAAGAAGACCGGAAGCGGCGGAGGGCGCAGATGGATGGCACGGCCGAGCCCACACCTTGGCACCCCACTCCACACCCCCTCGTCCACTTAAACATTGAACAAGGTTTTAACCAATAGCAGCAACACCACGACGGGTCAGAACAAAGAGTAGGATGGCTGGGCGACCATGCACACGACCTGTATACCCAGCTGGAGTGCAGGCGCATTTACCGGCAGGGGACTAGGCGTCGGAGAACTGTCAGCGCATAGCAGGCTGCGAGGGCCACGGTATGCTGATCCTGGCATAACAGACGCTTACAGACCTTTTGGCCACAGCCATAAGTACCATCAATGAAACCAAAAGTGTTCGAAATAATAATCGCTTGGTGTCGATGGTAAGTGACGGCGCCTGCCAGCATTCTAAAGGAGTTTATGTGTTTTCACAAAGAGCATAAGTAATGAAAATTACCTCAACTCGAGCCGAGTCGAGCTCTTGTAGCGTATCTGCACACCTCTGTCTGTGCTTCTGACACTCCTGTTCCAGTTCAGCATTCTGCGTCTTGAGATTGGCTATTTCACACTCTGAGAAAGGAAAAAAAAATATTCCGTTCAGAAGGGGACCAAAAATTTACGTCCATAATGAAAACTCGGGGAGACTGGCCAGGAAAGACCACCGCGATCCATGTGAACGGGATCCCTCATCAAAAAAAACTGTTCACTACAGGTTAAACCGCAAACTGACCAAGTGCGATGCGTCTCCTCCCACAGAAAACAATGATATGTCGCCTCCGTCAACCATACAGGACATAAATCCACCAACCATACAGATGCAAACAACGGACTTGGTTTTCCTACCGTATTTTTTGCGTGCTTCAGGTAGCCCTTCGGCGTTTCGGAGAGCTTTGAGACCAGCTAGTTCTTCTTTCACTTGGTCCAGTTCAATATGCAAAACGGCATTCTCACGGAACAGGCGCTCTGCGGAGTTTATTTGGGCCTCGGGGAGGGCAGACGACGCAGCTTTCTAGGGCATAAAACCGCCTTTTGTGAGCGTTTTTACAGACCAGTCGTCCATTTAAAACAGAAGAGGAGGACTACAAAAGGATGTGTTTTAAATGTGACGGTTGCCGAAAAGGAACTACCAGCGCCAAGTCGTGAATCTGAAACCCCCCTTTTTTTTAAACAACGCCTTTTTCCATTTCGCAGAGATTTTGGAGTATGTCCCACTAAAGTCCCTCTTGGAGCCTAGGAAATGGCTTATTTCAGTCAAGTCTCATGACTTGCGGCAGTTTTAGGAATAATAAACCTGTAAAAAGTTGCAAGGGAATAGGAAAACGATAAGTAATCGCTGGCTGCATTAACTGTACATATCCAGCGGCAAGCGATGGGGATAATAACAGCGGAAGTTGCTTAAAGGATCAAGCGCGTGAGTCCTCAACTAGATTTCGCTACAGACTGAGCAGAAGTCCACCAGGAGAAAAACAGAAGAGGACTTCTGAAAATTTCGTTTCACCTGTTTGATTGAACGAGAGAAGATGTGCGGATCTAGAGCCCTCGTAGGTGGGGGCGTAGGGACAAGCAGTTATGAATAAGGGACTGAGGACAGGGGAGACTGGAATAATCATTCAGGGAACGTAAGACGTCGTCAGTCAACCGTGTCCTAGCTCCCAGGCCTAAATAACCTAACCCCTGAAGCAAAATACCCCAGTTCATTGAACACTAAGTCCATGACATAGGCAGTGATGCGGGTTTGTTGCCCTATCGTCTACGACGAGAAATATTGGTGATTTTTGGAGCGGCTTTTTCGCGGGTCGTTTCGGTCTCCTCTGGCTTGGCCAGTATTCCTTCTTCTCACTTGCCTCTTTCCGTGCAACTGCCCGGAAGAGCTCCAGATTATATTTCCAGGACAAACCAAAGGAACACTTTCCACTCACAATCAGAGTGGTAAGGCACCACTTCTAGAACACTTAAAATTCTCGCACGCAGTTAATGGGGCAGCGGACCTGAAGTTCAAGCATAGGGAGTCCAGTTTAATTTTCAATGGTCCCAGTCCTGTCCCTAACGCTAACTAGGTGAATGTTCGTTCTCTGCGATTCCTTAACTCGACTCACCATTTTTACGCACATAATACAGTTTTGGCCCTTTTCGATTGTCAAACTAAACGAAAATCCTCCAGATAACTGCTTCACCAAGTCCTAGTAATGTATCCGTTGATATCTAGAGGAGAACGGCACATGTTGGGAGTTAAGACACATTAGTTGTATCACCTTTTAGGAACTCCCCGCTTGGTCACAGAAGTTGTTTACCGACTACTTGAAATCAGCAAATTGTTGGGGTTACTGATGAAATCATGCTTCGCTAGAAGTGATTTGATGACAAACTGTAGTAGCTGTAAGAATCGTACGGATTTCGTCGGATAAGGAAACTTCCAGCACTTTTTCTCGTTAGTTTCAAACTTCTAGCTTGAGCGCACCAGGACCGGACAACTGAGGAAGCATAAGCGTGGACTTGGACGACGGATAACCCGGCAAGACGGGAGCTGGTTGTTAACTTAACTGCCGGCTTCCCGGCGCGTCCGCGGGCGTCTGACCGTGGAACGGTCTATAGTGGCTCTACTCCGAACGCCTGTTGCAACGCTGGGCCTCGTGTGGGTACTTCCACGAGCGCACCAGTCGCAGTTTGCCGCTCGGCCAATCACGGATGTCCAAACCGGCCAATCATCTTCAAGGCCGGCTCGGCCGTGCTCTCGTCCAAGGCGCTGTGAGGCATTCTTCATTAGGGAAACAAACTACCCGATAGGCATGACAGTGGAGACCCTAAAAGAACTACTTGCGTGGTGCACACATAATGTCCAGTTCCTATGCAACGGCCAGCTATACAGGCAAATAGACGGTGTGGCAATGGGTTCACCGCTTGGATCGTTTCTCGCAAATGTCTTCATGGGCGAGGTCGGGCAAACGAGTCTCAAAGATATCATTAATGACCTTGACTTCTACGGTCGATACATGGAGAATATCTTTTGCCTGACAAGTCATACCACTGACATCAATGGCCTAGCTCAGAAGTTTAACAGGGCGCACCCCTCTCTGAAGTTTACCACAGAGACTGGGGCGAATAACGGGATCGCGTTCCTCGATGTCCTTCTACACGGACAAGAGGATTGGTCTATCCAACGCAAGATATTCAGAAAGAAAACCTGGACGGGCCAATACATTAATTTTGAAAGTTTTGTTTCCGTAAATCTAAAACGAAATTTAGTCTAGGGACTGGCGGCTAGAGTGCAACGCATCTGATCTCCTGAAACTGTTGAAGCAGAACTCCAGCAGCTGTAAAACACGTTCCGCGGAAACGGCTATCCGGAGAGATTTATTCTCCGGAATATTAGGGAGTGTGCCACAAAACATGCCGTCGCAACTGCAGAGAAGAAGGATTTTCTTCTAAGACTGCCTTTTCTAGGACACGCAGCAAGCGGATTAGTGAGACGACATCTTAGGACAGCTCTCACGAGTGCCTTCCCCGCGACGAACTTGCATATATGCGCAAACTCTCCCCTCCTGCTCTTGGGAGGTAATGACCGACTACCATTGCAGGCCAAATCCGTGTGTATTTATTCATCCACCTGCTCCTGTGGAGCGGGCTATACTGGCCGTACAACGAGGCGTCTGGAAAAGGGGATACGCGAACACATGTCCTTCCGGCTAGGTAGAGGGGAAAATCGACGGATTTTGAGTTCAATTCTCACACATCTGATCGATAGGAACCAAGTAGACGCTAAGGCAGCCTCTAAAGTCATATACCGAGCGCCAGCATACTACTCTAAAGGCCTGCGCAAACGGGTGCTATCCACAGCCGAAGCAGTAGCCATTCGATCAGCGAACTCAGCGTCCTGTTGTCAGAAGACGTTGACACAGTCTGTCTTGCCTGTCCAACTCCAGGTGGTGATCGCACGCCGTCCTGACGCCCTGAGAACAGTCACACGCACTCCGCGTGGTTAACACAGACAGCGCCCACAATCCAACTCTAACTCCTCTCCACTCCCCCCCGCCTACCACACCAACACCACCGTCCGCAACACGCTGACTCCGTCATGCGGGCGGCGTAGGAACATGGAGTCTGACCAATCCTGCCCCCTGAGACACATTTATCTTCTGTCCACATGTAAAAAGATCATTACCCATGTAAATGTATTGACCTGATGACGAGTTACTGAAAACGTATATTTGTCAACCGACTTTTCAATTTGCATTCTGCACTGTCGCTCGTGCTGCGGCTCTTACGACGCCGCACGTGTTCCCTCGTCTGGCGTCCAGGACCATCTGCTTATAACACAAGAAAAGGAGGCGTTCACCGGGAGAGGTGTATTTGAGGTCTGACGTTTCGGATAGTCGTTTCTTCTACCCATCTTCAGAGACTGAGCAGTCATGCACACAGCTTTCCTTTTATGGCGCACTTTGTTTGATGCCTGGCCCACCAATGCCGCCTGTGTGGCTGCATCCGACCCGCACGTCACCGTGACCTGAATCCCGCCCATCTTCGTCGGCCGCGGCGACAATTGACGGTCCCGATTGTCCCGCGCCGTGACTGTCCCCCGTCAAGAATGTCCGTAAAACCAGATAAGGGGGAGGCAAATACACCTCTCCCGGTGAACGCCTCCTTTTCTTGTGATATGCCACCTGGGAATCGCATTTCACTACTATTGATCCATCTCTTTGTATTCGGAACCGAACGTGAAGGTCGTAGTGGCCAGGGTTTGTGTATGGCTTAAGCTGCCGCAACAGGTCCTCAGTAAATGCCAGCTGCGAACTAAGCGGGCTCTCGGGTCTGAAGAATGAGCATTTGCAGAACATGCAGCGACACTACCCTTAGGCGTGGCTGCCCATCGATCTGATAAATCAGTTGCTTGACAAAAAAATGGTCACAAGCCATGGTGGCCTAACAGCAGGGCAGATGTTAGCCGCCATAAAAAGAGACTTCATCCGTCGTCCGGCACAATCCTGAAACCCTAAACTGTTGTGGTGGAGGGGAAGATGGAAACATCCATCTTAAAATTTAGGCATTACAGGAAATAAGCTTTCTGTTAAGCTATCCAACACGCTCTATTTAAATGTACCAAGGGATATTGGCACCTAGATAAGCAATTTCACGCATAGCCACAATAGCAGCCACGGTTATGCAATCCATCAGATATACTATATTGATCCTCAGGTTAGTAAATGCCAGACATCCGAGTCGATAATCTGATAAATATGAAGGGCTCACCGGATCAGTGGACAGATGTATGAACAAATTAGAGGCACCCACATACCAGAGCTGATTGTTGAAGTGGTTCTTCAAAGGATATAGTACTTAGTGCCCACCAAGTATCAACCAGAGTTTTGGGCTCGTTACATCGATAAAACTTTCGCCATGGTCAAATCCTCTGACGTGGAGCACCTCAAAGAATTGCCGAACTGGGTTGGCTCGAGTATACAATTCACAATGGAAGCTGAATCTAACGACCAACTCCCCTTCGTGAATGTCCTTGTGCGCCAATGTGCAACGGCAAACTACCGTTTACAGGAAAGCAACCAACGCAAGACAAATACTACATTTCAACAGCAATCATCCCCTCTCTCACAAACGCAGCTGCGTCAACACTCTATTCCAAAGAGTTGACACAGTGCAGCACATCAGCCGACAAAAGAGCTGAAGGGCAATTCTTTCACGACCTCTTTCGGGTCAATGGAAACTCAAGTTATTTTATCAAGCAAAGCAAGCGCCGAGTGAACAGGCGACGACCACAAGAAGAGCGACCTGAACTCTGGAGGGCTATTCTTTACAATAAAAGTCTCTGAGGCGGTTTCGTGTCTGTTACAATCCGCCAGAGTAGGCATTGCCCATCGACCCCAGGCATCAATTCGTCGCCGTTTGATGCAACCCAAAGACGCACTGCCACCCACTGAAACCTCAGCAGTTGTCCATTAAATGCACTATAGCGATGGAGACTGCAGCTGCGTTGGGGGAAACCGGACGGAAATTGCAGACTCGCCTACACGAGCACAAACTGGCAACTCGGAGACTAGACCCAAACTCACAGCTTGCGACTCACGTTGGAGAAACTAGCCACAGTTTTGACTTCCAAGGAACAGCCGTCATAAGCCGGGGCACCTCAAGGACAGAACGTCTCTCACTCGAGGCTTGGTACTCAGATGTCAAGTCCATCAACGGACATGTAGACCTTCCTGCGATCTATAAAGTCCTACTTCACTACATACGCCATAACCAGGACAAGACAGTCACACGGGACTTAAAAATGCCGAGCAAACGCGGCCAGTTGACTTATTTACTTGAAAGGTGAGCACAGGTGCAATCGACCCCCATAGAGATGACAACACACAACACAGGAGGCCACCAACACTCACAAACGACGGTCAGTATGCCAAGGCAGCGAAAGAATAAAAAATCGATCGACATAAGCCCGTTTTTTCAAAATTCTGGTCAATTTTTCGTACAAAACGCTTTGATAATGGAGAGCCGGCTAAACCCTCCGAAACGTCAGCCACTCAATTCCACTGATCCGGTGAGCCCTTCATATTTCTTAGCAATATCGACCCACTTTGGGAGATGCTGCCAGAACAGCACCCTTGCCATTTGAGACCAACCGGCCAACGGTCACTCCTTCGGGATGACGCAAACATCCTAGTGAGTTGCTGGGAAATCACATGAATGGAGAGAATACAGCTTCTTTGGACTATTATTAGTCTTCAGCCCACCTCTTGCTGCATGCGTTTCCGAGTTTCATTATGCTAGAGAAATCGTAAAAACCGTTCGTTCCGTATAACTAAAAGTTGGAGATACTAAAAGAGGTCTTTTCAGGTCATTTAAAATACACGAGAAATAAGTAGCCAGTACCTCTTTAAGTTTCTTGTTTTCAGCCATGAGTTTTTCGTTTTCTCTCTGGAATCCTTTTATGAGTTCATTTTGCAAGTGTGTTTCCTTTTCGAGGTCTGCTATCCGGGCCTGTGGGTCCGAAGTAAACTGCGAGAGACTCGACTTCGAGGTGCGGACTGAGGGACGGCTGTGTATGAAGTCATCGGCAGTAGAACTGCCAGGAAACCTGATTGGGATCTTGGGGGAAAAAGATATAGAACAGTAGAATGCATTCCAGACCAAAAGAGAAGCACTGGGGGATGATTTGAAAAGAAGTTTGGCTAGACACAATGATCATGGCTCAAGGCTTCAGGCTACCGACAGGAAGCACCAAATACAAGTGGCTCACAAACCGACTACCACGCTACGCAATCAGCTTGTACACCCTAAGAATAGGGTTGGCTATTTGGATAAGAAAGAAGTAGTCTATAAAATTCCATGTGGCACTTGTAATGCAGTGTATTGTGGTCAAACCGGAAAATCCGCCTCTACACGCCTACATGAACACCAATTGGCAGTGAAGAGGCGGGACCACTTATCCCAAGTCGCCATGCATACTCTTGAAACTGGGCACAAATTCGCTTGGGATAAAACACGCATTGTCGGTTCCTGCCCATATAAGAAAGGCCGAGAATTCCTAGAGGCCATTCACTCTGATGATTCATGCATCAATCGACGCATCGACCTTGATACGATGTACACAAATCTCAAAGAAAAATGGAAAAGGCAATAGCCAATCAAGGCGTGACATCAGCCCAGAGCATTAACCCATCCTCAGCCATGACAGAGCAATATCGATTTTTTCGGCATTGTTTAAATTTTGACTGTTTCTTCACACTTACTACACGTCTGAAGACGAGCTGGGGAACCAGACTCGAAAATTTACGAAATAAAGTTTGTTCATTTTCCCAAAGGACTCATTCTTCTTCGAATTATGTTTCTTGGGATGCCCATCTTCCAGTATATATAACTATATATAGATAGTATAGAGAAAGGAGGGCGGAAGATTAAGGAAGACTCTAGCTAACAGAATTTGCAAGGTATATAAGTTCGCCTCATCTTCATGGACACGCAATGAAGATAGGCACAAATGTGTCCAGGTTGAATTTCGATTCTGAATTCCTTACATAGTGCATAGCAGAACGGTGGAATGATCTCTCTAAGTCAGTTTTGGGGGCGACGTCGTTGCAGATGTTCAAGAAGTACTTGGATGATTATGTGTCTTGCCGACAAGCTGAACCTGAACTGAAAGCCAAGTCAATTCTACAGAGAAATTTGTTTCAAAAACAATACTACTTAAATTATGTGAATACTATAGTTTTAGCGATGCATTTACAAAAGACGTGCACAGTATCTATGGCATACCGACATGTAAAAGACTGTTTTCAGAGGTTTTTCCAATTATTCTCAAAAGTAAGCCGAAATAAGCTGAAAGTGAGGTGCAGAATCGGAATAGTATATAGGACACTGGTTTTCAAATTCGGTTCTAAACTGATTCAAACAGACATATGAAGTGAATGTCATGAAACTTTATGGAATAGCTGCATTATGTACACGATTGCAGATCTGTCAGACGTTTGATAAAGCGAAATTGCAATTCGCGATCATCCATCGTCGTTTTTAACTGTAATTGCTAATGTATAACTGCCTGAATTTCTACTGGTTCAGGAAATGGCCCCACTTTCATTTTATTATCCAAAATTTGAAATTCGTTCGGGCTTTTGCATATTCTTCCAATCTTCCGACGCTGGATCCCACAATTACGCAATTTTGTGAAGCAATTCAATTTAAAAGTATTGACATGATCCGGACATGTAGAAAGCGTCTCAGGTAGCCAGCGTGCGCCAGTAAAGATCAGATTTTAAAGTAGGGAAACGGTCTTTTACCTCTTTACCTTCTGGAAGGAAAATGGTTTGATGGTGGCCCTCGAGGAAACACTTATTACGGACCTGAAGCTAGTCGACGTCTTCCAAAACGGGATTATTTAACATATGCTCTTTCCAAACACAGAACATTACAACTACTCGTGTGCAGTTTACGTAGAGGAAGGAAATGTGCCGTATTTTAAGATTGCGAACATTCGATAGGAGCATGTAGAAAATAAATGTTCGAAGTCCGACTGGTCCTAAAACGATAATCAATCTTCAAATCCTTTCCTACCAGGTAAGCATTGGAAGAAACAAGAGACAAAGACAAACATTTACCGGTTTTTCAGCGGGAAGATTCTGTATTAGTGAGGGTCCCCCAATGGCGGCATCCTGATCGAACTTCTGAAGATGTGCTCTAGGCTCGATTCCCGTTATCTAAAAGACATTTTTAAAAAATCACTCACAAGTGCGTCAGGAGCGTGGTCCCGATGCTGATAATATAAAGAAATAAAGGGATTAGATTAACTGGATGGGTAGACAAATAGTTTTGTGTGAGCTCGTCGAATGCACGAGTTTTCTAAAAAGTCTATCCATTTAAACTCCGAACAGGAAATAAATAGCCCTATTAATCTGCTTTACGTTTGACTAGTCTTGCAAGAACAGGTATCTGAGTGGGGGTTTCATCCTTGGAAGCCTTACAATGAATATCCTCGTGATGGGGGTATTTAGTTTGTGGTACCCTGTTACAGTTCCAGAACGGAGACCGAAAAAGACATGCGAACGTCATCAGGGGATTAAGAACTGCCTTTCCACGTGTTTCGTAACAGTGATAGGTTGGCCTACAGTGTCAGTTTAGAGAAAGAACGAGAGACAAACACCAGGAGAGTATACTGGCAGAATTCACGGTCGATCCGGTTTTGTTACCTCATGGAAGTGTAACATAACAAGTGGGAGGAAAGGTTCTCAAATCCTGCCGGGGTGGTCCCGTGAACGTCCATATAATTTCTAAGCTGCATGAAAACCAATTAGTCAAAGAGATCGCGAATATGTAGCTAAATTAGGTGGTTTATCGCTTATCTAAACGTTGCAAAGACAACGACTACTCAGAAGGTCATAAGTAGACCTAACTTTGTCACATAAGATTCGGAGTTTGGAAGTGAGTGAAGGGCCGGGCAAATAAACTCCATCGCGGGAAATAATTCTAATTGAGAGTTATGGTCAAAGAGACTATCAACAAAGATGATAGACAAATGAAGCAAACCTTTACATCTTGCTCTTCTAGCTTGCCGGAGAAAGATTGGGTTGAGGAGTCGTCACAGCTGGCAGAAACCTTTAAACCAAGATGCCGTTCACTAATTTCGCGGCTGCGTGGTGTGGAATTTGAAGATCTAGAAACAGCGGCTTCACTTTTAAGACTTGAACAAGATGGTTTGCGCGTCGATTTACTTAGCTTTCTGGACAGAATTGAGGTGTAAGTCGAACTAAAAATTTAAGAACAGGGAGATCTTGAGGAAGGTAAACTTACTGTTTGGTTTAAAAGTGCATGTCCAATGAAATTTGGTGGAACCGGATGAGCATGAAAAACGTTGACGGGAATATTGAAGTAAGCAATTAAAACCACGACAAACTGCGCGCCTGTAATTCTGCTGAGCAGGACTCGATGTTTCAAAGCCAAGAAAGGAAAATTACACAACCTATGAGAAATATGAACTGTTAAAAAGTGCTTGACTTTAGAATATTTTACCAAGAGGCGGTACCTCGGTAGCCGCCTTTAAGGAAAAAGTCAATCGACGTTAACTAGAAGATTTACTCAAAATGATGAAGGCGAGTTTTAAATTCTAAGTTAAGAAAATAACGTGAGAAAATGCCCTTATCGTTAAACCCGATTTAATGAAGACGAAATTGAAGTCCTGAACACGAAATGACTAGAATCCCGTAAACACCATAAAAGAAAGAGTTTGCCACCAAACTTTGTGCATCTCATTAGTAACGTAGCAGTCACAATTACGCATGATATGGCAAGTCGCTGTGAGCTGAAACGAACTTAGCCCTTCTTAAGGAGAGTTCATATCGGCACCCAGATGCTTTGACTGGAGATATCATTCCCTCAGCTTAATTGACAAGAAACGTCAGGCTCAGTGTTCACACGAAGAGTCTCAAAATACAGTAAATGTGCTATCACATGAGACGTTGACTGGAATTCTGAAATGTGTTTCCATTTACAACAATGGCCTATGTGGGGTTGCAATATTAGTTATCGTGTCAAATAATGTCAGGATATTTCAGTCATGTCATGAGGCCGGCTTTTGAATGAGCTTCTTGCCGTATTCCATAAAAATGACTGCTTAAATTACACAGGTTCTCCCACTTATTTTTAATACCCCTATAAATTCGGATATATTTCACGGGAACCAGGCACAAAAATATTATTTCGTTTGCTCATTTGGTAGCAAATTACGTCTTCTTCAAATTTTAGACTTGAAGAAAAAGTGTCTCTTGGTTTTAGAGAACTTTCACAATTCTCGAGTAATTTTGAGCCCGACTCGCCGTTACACTTGCATTCAGAGTTTCCGAACTAAAAGTTGTTTACTTTCCGAGGACGTAATAATGGCGGATACCACGGAGACGTTCAAGCAAAGACTAGATGTATATTTCTTGGACAATACCGCTTGTCTGGACAGAACAGCTCTGTGGTGCCAAACCAACGCCTTGCATACACCTACCGCTAATGAGGATGACTGTCATTGCATTTTACCGATATCATCTACAACTGAATGTGTCTGAGTTTCGGTTCTGAATTTTCAATGAAAATATTCTGTTAAGTGTATATATTACTGACAAAATTCTAGTACTGTGTTTATTTAAAGTTACATATTGCAAGTACCGTTTACAATAGGGTTTTCAAAGGCATTGCCTATTACCCTTAAAATATATTGACCTATATACTGACATGCTATTATGAAGAGAACATATCGGACTCATAAAATTTTGTAGTGGATTCGGACTGCAATGTCCATTTCATAAATGTGCAGATGCGGTGCTGTACGACTGGACGTTTCAAGGTCTTGAAGAATCTCACAATTACAGACTTTTCCAAAACCGAAAGATACTCTTTCATCAAGTACAAAATCTAAAGAAGACGTAATGTGCTACCAAATGGGTAAAATTTGAAGCTTTTTGTCCCCGGTACGAAGCTGAAGCAGGCAAGCAGGGCAGGATTTAATGGTACCCAAATATGTCTGAATATGTAAGGGGATCAAAAATTAATTGAGAAAAGTTCCTGTTGCTTAGGCAGCCATTTTTATGGAATGTGGTTTGTGCAGGCGGTCGATAAGGAGTTCATTCGAAAGCCGCGGTCGTTTCGTGACTGGATTATCACAGTATTATGCTACACAATCATAATTATTAAGCGCGAATGTGTCCAGGCTGAATCTTCTGCTTTAATTCTTTATGGATATGGAGGCGACGTCGTTGCAACTCCCTAAAAAGGCACTCAGATTATCATTTGAGTCCCTTGTCTTCCCTCGACACACTAAACCTGAACTGAAGACCGTGTCAACTCAGCACATAAATTTAATTTAAAAATACTACTTACATTATGTGAATATTATTTTAATTGCAATAATATTTTACAACCAATGTAACAAAAAGGGTTTTCACAGGTTTTACTTATTACCCTCAAAAATGCACTAAAAATAAACTGAAAAATACACCGCGGTGGGAAAATACGTATTGCGGAGATTCGGTAACACGGCGAGTATCGCTCTACTTTGTGTTATGTGCTTTTCAAACGTTCATGACCGTAGCGTCATTCAGATCAGAGGAAATCGCACAAATGGATCGTAGGCGCCATAGACCCCCTGGTTGATCCACAGAAATAGATGAGAATCCTCATTATCCCGGGGAAGCAGTGGTTATTTCGGCATGAAATCCATCACATAAGGGGGGAGGGGCTAATGAATGTCAATACTACTTGCCCTTTCCACATCCCTAATGTTCCATTGCGACCATCGGGTTAAAAGGACTGGGGATGGGTTTTGACATAACAACTGGCCTGGTATTCGCCCTACGTTCTGCCAGTTGGCAACCTCCGATTTAAACCTCGTGGCAGGATCGAGTCAGACAAACTTAAAATGAGGTCAGGTGAAGTAGTTTCTCAAGCATTTCGCTCCAATTTCGTACGTGTCACATCGGATCTAGGGGCTGTCCATTTTGAGGTCCAGTTTAAGGGGGGCGCACTATAATACCACGGATGGCTGAGTACAGTTGAGGTCAGAAGAGATGTGGGATGACTGCGTTCACGTTACTGATCAGTGAATGAGAAAATCAACTGACGTTACTTGCTTTAATTGTAAACGTCAGCGTCTGTCAATATTCTGCACGCCAACAAAACTGCTATGATTAAGTCTACTCAAAGACAGCAAAATAAGGCGATTAACAATTAAAACATAAAAAGATTTTCCACGTACCCTTTCGATCCTGCTCGTGAGTAGTTGACCTGCTTTTTATAGACGTTGCCTTTCTTCGATTTACCGGATACTCCCGAAACGACTGCATCGTTCTCCTCCTGTTCAACATCTTCATCGTCCTCAGTCGGCACATGATCTGCACTGAGCTCGTTTTTTTGAAGGCCTTCGAACACCTCCGCCTATAAAGAGCATTTGCACAATCTGATTGGTAACAAAGAACATAGGTAGATTCAGTAAATCACGAAAGACCATAAATTGGTTATTCAGCGGACTTTAGATCGGAAGCAATTGCTGACGGCCAGCATTAATATTACTACACAAAGAAGACACGCTGCCACAGCTTATAACAAATCCGAAATACCAAAAAAGCGGCCTCGGGGTGCATCCGTTCTGGTTCGTCTGGCGACGTCACCCACAAAACCTACCACAGAAAAAGGCACAGAAAGAGGGCTACTCACAATTGTAACTTGACCGCAGTGATTAAGCGTAAATGAAGTTAAGCTTGCAGATAATCTGCACCAGCACCCTAAGAAACAACTGTTGCTTCTGGTGGGCATAAAGGCGTTCCTCTCGGCGCTGTCGACCCCCAACAAATCCAATAGGAGGACCGCCTCCCCGGACTGGCAGTCCACAGATCTGGTCTAATAAGCCGCCTGACAGCGGCTGCATGGGGGGTGGCGGCTTAACAAAGG